ATTTGATGTGTAGATGTCCAATGAGATCAGAGCGACTGTCACTGATGTCAGTCTTCTTTCGTTTGTGGATTGTTCCTTCATTATGCTTAACATTTCACTATTGTCCCTTTTTGTTAAGCGATGGAATAAGGAGACATCCTCTCTTCATCTTCGATTTGGTGAGATGGAGATTACCCTAGATGATGTCTCTGGCCTCTTCCATCTCTCACTTGCAGGTAACTTCTTGATCGCTCTTGTCATTAACCAAGAGCTTGCATGTATTATGATTGAGCAGTTCTTAGGGGTTACAACAGGGACGGTCTTTGAGGAGTACAGGGCTAACATGGATGCTCACTTTCGTCTCTCTTAGCTTTGGAATACGTACCAGACATTCGCGCATCACTTTATGTTTGAAGTGACTGTTAAGGTATACATGTTGCATCTTATAGGATGTACTATCATATTGGATTAGTATCATGTATACATTGATGTGAGATACATATCCTTGTTTGTTGAGTTTGAGCATCTCAACGAGGCATGATGTGTGCAGCTTTGTCGAAATTATACGCTACCTTTGGAGAAGCGATTGTCGTTGAGACGAGACATCTTTCCGGTTATACGAGTCTATTTCAGGTATGAATAATTATTGTGTTGTATTTATTTAGTTTTTATTTATCAATGACATTTCGTATATGTAATTATTATTTCTTGTGCAATGTTAGATATACATGCATTTTCCGCTCATTTGTAACATGTGTGGTCGTGGTCTTATCACTGATGGATTTTCATAAGCCACTAGATAGAGGGTCAAACATTCTCATTCATGCGGTCTTTAGGAGTGCAGGCAGAGGATCAATGCACTAACCATTGACGATGTCATATGGACACCCTACGTCGACCACAAAGTGCATCGTAAGTTTAATAACACTTCCCTTTGAGTTTTATATATTTTATAAAATAATGATTAATAAAAATATTGATTTTAATGATGAAATAAATTTTATTTAGTAATATATCTTTTTATGAATGAAAAGAAAAAATATTACATTGATATTCTAAAAAATAAATAAATTACTTGAGATTGAAATTTAAAAAGAAACATCTAATTTCGGATGGAGTGAGAACTTCTTCTCACTTAAATAAACTTATTTCATTACATTCATAATAATGTGAGTAATAGAGGCTGAACTCAAATCACAAACTTGAGAACTAACGCAAAACCATAACACCTTTGTTAATGTATGAGCATCAAGATTTATGTGTCTCTTAATCAAACTAATCTTATAATTTGAATTCAATTTATCCTTTATCATTCTTGTATTAAGATAATGTTATGTGGGCTTTAGAAGAAATGTCCATGAATATACGATATAAGCCAATTATCTTAGCATTGGGCGAGCACCCTAAATAAGGCATCAAGATGGCTAGAATAGGGTTTGTGGTCGCGCAAAATTGGATGATAGGCCATCCAACTGGTATTGAGTCGCCTAAGTCGATCCATTCATTCATCAAACACATTAGTAATATGTCCAAACATTGATCGATCAAAGAAATGACTCAAAGGGAAAAAATGCTCTCCTGTGATTTATGGAAGAGTCAAGTATTCCCATGTCTCCACACTAACCGAAAGAAGGCGAAATACGACACACTAAATCCCCAAAATAATATATATGATATTTAAAGTGTTCAAAACTAATAAAACGTATGAGTTTAAAAAACTTTTTGAGATAAAAGACACCATTTCGTCCAGTTACCTTTTACAAATTATTCTAAAATATCCATCAAATTAAAACAATTATACATCACTATACTAAATATTTATAATCTTTTAATGTGAAAGCAGAAACATTTTTAAGATGATTTTTCCAACCGGATGTCACATTTCAGAGTGGAGCTTCTCCCAAACTTGAACTTCAAGACTCATTAACATGTATTTATTGCGATTTTGCAAATGCATGGTCAAGCCAGACAAACACAAACACGAAGGCGTCAACTTCGAAATAACAGTACAAAATAGTTGATAAAAACACGCAAATTATCAAGTAAACATTGTATCATATTAAACCTAATTAGCATGGACCATCAACACCAAACATCTACACAAATCACAGTTTCAAGATGTAATTATTCTTATCTCAAAGTAAATCAATAAAAGCAATCCATATAGAATGTCAATATAAATCACGACAGTTGGAACAAAATTGGTTTTTCCCATATCTCTTGGGTTTTGATGATAACAAAGTATTTAAAGAACAATTGGGTATCTAGTATTTATTCAAATGTGCAGAATCATAGACTAAAATTTCATATAGAATCCAAATATCGATTCTGACTATGACCATTTAATAAGAAGTTTAAAGACCAAAATCAGATGGATCGAAAGTTGAATACTAAACTCTGAGGAAGTCAACTTCTTAAGAGGTCAACGTCTGAAGGTCAACATTTGAAGGAGTCATCCTCTGAAGGATAGACTTTGAAGAAGTCTACTTCTGATTATCAGAACCTGATAGTCAAAGTACAAGAACCAAGGTGACTGAGTCTACTTTGTCACGTGAAGATTTAAGCTCTATTTTCTTCATAGAGTCTTTTAGGATACAACTACTAATTCCTTTTGTAGCAAAGGATTTTCAAATTAGCCTTCACTTACCCTGACTATTTGATGAAATATCTCAATGTCTCTTTTGAAGCTTCTCAAAGGACTCTGTTATGTTGAATCTTTAATGACTCATTTCTTCTCTATTTAAGGAGGTAAATACTTGAAGAAAAAGACACCAGTTGACACTAAAAGAGAAGTTATTCTGTCAAAATAAAAGCATAAACTAAACTTAGGATTTCTTATCCATGCATATCTTAGAAATCCTTGAGTCTTAAAAGAGTTTATTTTATTTGTATTCTTTATACATCTATGATTGTATATCAAGTGTATTTTCCCAACAATCATTTATCTGCTAGGTAGATTGTTAGAAGTCTCTTACTAAGTGTTTGTGCATTTCAAGTTTCTTAATTGTGTGCTTTAAGCATTGGAAGTCTCTTAATTTAGTGTTTGAGAATTTATAGTCTCTTGCTTATGTGCTTGAGCATTAGAAGTCTCTTACTTTAGTGTTTGGGTAAAGGAAATATTTTTCTTGTGTGCTTGAGCATAGAAGTCTCTTACTTGTGTGTTTGAGTAAATTGTAATCTTGTGTTATTATAGTGAAAATCTCTTATAAGTACAAAGGGAATTTATTACTCTTAAGTTGCGAGAGTAACCAAGATAACTTTGTGTGTTATTCTTATTTCTTGCATTTCATATTCGTTGCCTACCTCTGACTGAATCAGATTCTCTAACTTGTGTTTAGAATCTGACCAAGAGTTTCGAAAAGAAAAAAAAGTCAACACAATTCAACCTCTCTTCTTGTGTTTTTCTCACCTTCAATTAGCATCAGAGCATGGTTTGTGCTTAAAACGTAACAGTGGGTGTAGAAAAGATTCTGAGAAAAATATATTGAATCATGTATGGTGTTTTTGAATCTGGAAGCGGTACTCCCAATTCAGAAAAGAACAATTATACAGCTCGACCTCCAACTTTTAGTGGAGATTCTACTGAGTTTGAATCGTGGAAAAGCAAGATGTATACACATATCATAGGCCTTGATGAAGAGTTGTGGGATATTCTGTAAGATGGCATAAACATTCCAATCAATGAGTTAGAATGGTTTCTGATAGAAAAACTCTCACACCAGCTTAGAAAAAGGTTTATAGAAAACGTCATAAAGTTAAAGTCATTTTGGTTGATGCTCTACCTCACTCAAACTACATCAAAATCATTGATAAATCTTTTGCTAAGACCATTTTCAAATCCCTATATGCTACTTATGAAGGGAATAAACAGGTTCAGGAAGTTAAGGTTGATCTTCTAATTCAGCAATATGAGCAGTTCAGAATGAGAGAGGATTAATATAAGAGAGAGTTAAAAACATGACTCGTCATAAAAGACAACTTCATATATTATTTTTGAAGTCATTTATTTGAAAAATAATTCAACTTTTATAAAAACAAACGTAACTATGTTAATCTCGACCTTAACTTTAATTTTCTAATAAATCTCAAAAAAATTTGTTTTAAAAATATCTCCTAAAAATCAAATATTTTTAATTATGGTAGATAAAAAATAAATTAAAAAACTCATTTTAAAATTGGATTTAGTTGGACTATCTTGCTCTAGCATTATGATTGATGAAAAATAAACTAAAACTCATTTTAATATTTGACTTATACCTCACCACTCTTAATTTCTTTGCAAGATCAAACTACCAATTTGGGAAGAAAAAGAACTATTATATCTATGATTGATGAAAAGGCAAGATGGGATTAAAATTGCATGGAGCAGAGAAGGAGGATCATCATCAATCTTCTAAGTGTTTTTTTTTTTTTGGATTTCTTCAAGTTTCATCCATTAGGAAATTTCAAGTTCATGAGCTTTGTCGAAGGAGCATTTTATATTGTTAGAGTTTTTTTCTAAGAGCAAATTATTTTTATGAAAGACACAACACATATTTATTTAAAATTTTAAGATGATAGATATATGAGTTCTACCACTTATAAATACTCAAGTATCCGCATTCTTAATTAATATATGATTTCCTCACACTACTCACACTTAATTTTTTTCAACAATTTTGATGAATGTAATGAATTGTGAATGAATAATGACTATGTATTGGCTGTGAATTTAGTTAGATTGATGCCTTAGTACCTTGGAATGATTGATAATGAAATTGGAATATTTGGGAGTGTTTTGGGATTGAAAATTCTGAGTTTTTGTATGCTGTCACGATTACAGTGCAAGAAAAATTCATCATGCAACGATGTTTAGGAGTGTTATGAGTGACACAACACAAAAATTTCTTACAGTCAAAATTTTCAGAAAATAGTGAGTTAACAGTAAAGTCTAGAAACTCATGTTAAGGCACAAGTGCTACAAACTCAAAAATCATATACACATGCTACTATTATTTATATAGTACGAAAGCATTTCATTTTTACACAACCAAGTGTTCATATATCCAGTCTCTCATAATCACATAAGCTTTTTCAGCATCCTTATCCTCTTCGGGAGATCCAGGTCTGTGGGCAAATCCGTGACCTCTCCCTGGGAATATCACTACTTTTGAACCATTATCAATTTTCGTCTGAATATTTTCTATTTCACTTACAGCACAAAATGGATCGTTGTCCCCTAATATAAACAAGACAGGAACTTTTACATCAGAAGCAACAAGAGGATCCATTCTCGCACCATAGAAGGAGATTCCAGTGCCAAAACAGGCGCCTTGATCCCGTGCTAGCACCTCCAACAGTCGGCCACCTCCAAAACAAAAACCGATTATGCTAAGTTTTCTGGAATCTCCCGAAGTCATGAATTCATCAGCCATCCATTCTGTCCATGCAGTAATGTCTTTTGCAATCCTCTCAGAGCTGTGTCCAGCAATCCATTGTTCGAACAGAGTGTTCGGCCGGTCCTTTGTCCATGGATTTCCGCGAAATAAGTCAGGAACTAGAATGCTGCAAAATTGATTATGAAGAAATAAATAAATATGAACCGTTAGATTAGAAACATGAGGGATGACCTGATATATAAAAAAAAAAAGAGGATCCAAATCCAATATACTAAGAAGATAACACAAAATAGGGTTGAGAAACATACTTGAAACCATTGCAAGCAACTCGATATGCGAAATCTCTTGTGAAGGAGTCCTCGAAGCCATAAATATCTGAAAGAAGCAATAGGCCAATTCCGTTATTATTTTTTACAGCCTTGAAGAGATAAGCATGAATGTTATTATCATCGTCGTCCTCAAGCGAAAGCTCCTCTCCGCTGACTAATTCACATGCTTCATCATTTATGTCAGTTTCGACATTGAGTAAACTACATGATAGTTTTGAGTTTGCAGCATGTTGAATTGATTTATGAAGATTGAATTTGAAGTTTTTCTGAAAAGAAACTGAAGAATTGCATTGTAAGAAGAAATCCGTTAAAAGAATTATGAATTTGATCGTAATAGAAAGAAAGAGAACGTACAGGTTGGAAGGAAATGGCAATGAGTGGGGGGTTTTGCGATGGTTGATGCAGCAGCAGCACAAACGGAAAATGCTCTAACTGTAGTTAGCCCCATCGGTCTACGCAAAAATATCTTGCTATTTCTATTGTGTGGTCTCTAACGACAAACCAATCCGGAACGCATTACAATTACAAAAACCTCTTTTTAAAACAACCTCACTCCCATTTTCAATCCACTTCACTTTACATCCACGCATTCGCATTCACTCTACTTCATACAATATAACTTCCTTTTTATTCAATGCATTTATTATTAATTGAAAACTACTATCCTCACCCTTAAATACAAGAAAATTTTGAGTTCTTTTTATATGACTCTTTTCGAATTTTAAATATATATTAAATACAAGACAATGTTACATTCAAATTTATGGTATGGTCTCTCGATCAAAATGCTTAAATGCTTTAAGATTCTAGGGGAGATTGTGTATGTTGTGATAATTCTAGATGAGGGTTTAAAAATAATTAGAAGTTAGTTTGTTAATTAGTTAGTATTTGATTAATTTCAGACTTAAGTAAGTTACTTGAATCATAAGTAACTATAAAACCAACCCCTCATATGCATTTCATATAATGCAATAATATTCAAAAAGCTTATGTGAAGCTTGAGTTATTATCATTTTTTAGTCAAAATTCTATTTCTCTCATTTTTCGATTTTTTTATGTTTTCTTGCGTTGTAAGGCACATTCTGTTGCACTAATAATTGACATCTAGAGTCTAGTTCCATCACTAAAGTGGTTTGATGTTGATCCATAAAGGAAATGCAAAGTAAAGAAGATTTACAAAGCTTTCTTGAAGTAGAAGAAATATGAATGATAACGGTGGTTTTTCATCCATTATTTTGATTCTTGATGGGAGCAATTGGGAGATATGGAGTGTCTTGATGAATTTGTTGTTTGGCGCACATGAAGTGTTAGAAATTGTGCAAGAAGGTTACGAAGAATTAAGGGTAGATCCCATTGATGCCCAAAGAACCGTCTTCAAAAAGTCTAGAAAGAAAGATTGCAAGACTTTATTCTATATTCAACAAAATGTGAATTCTCACCACTTTGAGAAGATTTTGAAGGCCAATAGTCAAGAGAAGTATGGAAGATACTAGAAAAGTATCATGATAGTGGAGCGAATGTGAAACAAGTGAAGTTGCAATCACTTAGAAGAAGCTATGAGCTGATGCAAATGGAAGAGAATTAAAATATATGATTGTTGTTCAAAAATTGATTTCCATGGTGAATTAAATGAAGTCTAGTGGTGAAGGACTCATTGTTACACAAATGGTTGAAATGGTGATGAAATCTTTAACATCAATATTTGATTTTATTGTATTAGCCACTTAAGAATCCAAAGATCTCAAGAAATATAAAATGGAGGACTTGAAAAGTTCATTAAAAGCTCATGAATTTATGGTGATTGATAGAGGCACTGAAAGAGAAACTCAGCAAACATTACAGGAACAAGTGATGCAGAAGGATGGAATTTAAAGGAATTTAAAAAAAAAAAAAAAAGCAAAGGAGGTCTCAAAAGTCCAAACGGGTATAATGCTGCAAAAACAAAAAAAGAAATGAAGAAAAAGCTAAATCTTCTAGAAGACGAGAAGGCTATGACAAGAATCATACCAAGAAGAAAGAATTTTTTAAAAAAACAAGACACATGCTACAATTGTGAGAAGCATGGTCACTTTGCACATGAATGATGGTACATGAAAAAAGGGGGAATGAAAATTCATAAAGGAGTTGAAAAGGTCAACATAACACTTGATGGTTGTAAATCTAATGCAGTGCTACTAATGGCCACCACTTGTGAAGGAAATCAATTGTGTGAGCAATGGTATCTAGACTCAATATGCTCAAACCACATGACAAGATATAAAGAATGGGTGACTAACTTTGATTCAAGCAGGAAGATTAGTTTCAAACTTACTAATAACAGTTACATTGCAACAAAAGGTATTGGTGATATAGTGATCAAAAGAAAGGATGGAAGGATTGTCTTGATTGAAAATGTATTCTTTGTACCAGGAATGAAATGCAACTTGATAATCATATGATAATTGGTGGAGAAGGGCTTATTAGTTACTATGATTGGTGATATATTCTAATAGTTTGATAAAAGGAAGTTGTTGATTTTGAAGTCTCAATCGTCTAAGAACAGAACCTTCAAGTGCAACATTCAAACTGGAAAAGAAGTATGTTTATCAAGCATTGATGAGCCAGAACTCATGTGGCATATAAGATATAGGCATCTGAACTTCAAAAGCTTAAGTTAGTTATGCTTTAAGAGCTTCGTGCATGGTCTGCCTAAATTGAGAACAATGAGTATGACATGTGAAATCTTCATGAGGAGCAAAAAAAAATACATAATATTTTGTTTAAGAAATGTCTAAGAGATCAAGATATTCTCTTGAAGTGGTGCATTTTTATATTTTTGATCCCTTTGAGGTACCGTTATTAGGAGGTAGTCGACATTTTATCACCTTGAACATTTAAAAACCGATGGGTATATCATGAGAGCGCCATATTCTATTTTTTAATTAAAAAAATATACAACCTATTCTCTTGGTTTTCTTAAAAACCGAGGGAATATAAGAAGCTCACTTTGAATCTCTGTTACTGCATTTTATGTTATTTTTTCAATGGTTTAATCTTTTTTTTTCAGTTGACACCTTTCCAACTTCTCTTTTTTTTTCTTAATTTTTTATTAGTATTAACCTCAGTTACATGGTCCAACTGAGAGGTGATATATTTTGCATTAATATTTTCAAATCAATTTTTTCAAAAGCACTTTTTATTTTATTTTATATATTCACATCCCTCGATTTTTTTATAAAAACTGAAGTGATAGATATTTTAAATATATTTCCAGAATATGGCGCTATGGTGTTTTTTTATATTTTTTATTTTTATTTAAAACATACAGTCAGTTTTATTTGAAAAACCGAAGTGATTTCTATTTTGCATGAAATACTTCAGAGAATTAGACGCTAATTTTTCATTACCTATCAAAGCTCTAACTTCATATTCTCATTCTCTTCGCAAAAATTCTAGGAGATTTTCATTGTAACTCTCATCAAAACTATTCCAACACTTGGCATTCATCAACATTCGAACATCAAAAGTCGCCACGTTTAAGGTACATTTGTTCTTATTCTAGGCATCTTGTCAAATCAGCAGTTTTAACTCCACCAAATCCCAACTAAGTCCTGGCATCTCGTCGTAATTCTAGGCATAGTAGTCTTTGAACTCCTTCAGCACTTTGGTTATTTGAGTTCTAAGCCATGGGTCGATTTTGGCACTTATGTAGGTTGGTCTTTTGGTCATCCTATCTCCTAAGTCTATCTCTTTCAGAGGATTATATGCTTGCATCCTTTTGGTTGAAGCTATTGGGTATTTCTTAAATCCTAAAGGCTCGTCGTCATATATGTAGTCGAACTTGCGACTTTCTGAAGTTGTTATTTGGCCATTTTGGACAATTTCCAATGTTTCAATAGTTTGAACTATTTTGGCTTTGATAACCATTTTTTATGAGCTTCGGCTTCTAAATCCGCTATTATTTTATTTCAACCATGTAGGCCAAAATTCGAGCTAGTGCCTCTGACTCAGTCTTCATTCTCTTCAGTCGACCATCTTGTAGCATTGGTCGAACTTCCTCCCATTTTTTCATATTTCCAAATGAATCCATGAGTTGGATGTAGCTCCATGGAATGGAATATCTCTTCTAGAGAAAATGGTTCTCCGGCCAGTGTACATGGCATAATATGGGCCAATTTTGTATCAAAGTTTCTCTTGTCAATCTGATTGACTTCTACTAGAAAGAAACTTTGATTTGCTTTTATGTTTTCAACAATGCCAGCAAGTCTCCAGACTAAGACTCTCTTATGCATTGCCGAAGGTACAACCCTTACGTCGTGGATCCATACCCAACCCAACAATATGTTAGAATTTTCTTTAGTTGGGATAACCACGAACAATGTTGGTTTGGCTATAGTTACCACTAAGACGACCACTTGAATAATACCCAGGGTTGCGCTTGTCTTTCCTTCATAGTTTGAAAGAATCATGTTGTGAGGTCTAAGGTCGATATCAATTTTTCCAATATTCCTCAACATTAAGTGTGGCATTATGTTTATTATCGATCCTCTATCGACCAACACTCTGTTGATCCCTACATTTTTCACCTTCGCTCAAATGAAGAGAGGCTTAAGATGTTGTTGCATCCCATAGTTAGGCCTTTCAAAGATGGACCCACCTTCGCCTATGGCACCATTGTCCATCATATAGTAGCATAGGGGTTTGTGGTTTTCCAGTTCTTTGACTAAACCACTTTCATCTTCAGTCACTTTGGTGACTTGAACATATTCCACCTATAACACGAATATCATGTTACAAATTATGTCTAGTTCTTCTCAAGAACCAGAATCAAAACATTTCATTGCCATATCTTCATCGTCGTTTGGCACGACTTTCCATTCTTCTGACTTTGTTTGAGGTGATAAAAGAGGGAATAATATTTGTTTGAAAGGCTTTTTGTTCGTTAGAACTTGCTTGACAACATTGACACTATCACTTTTGTTTGAACTCTCAGCTTCAAAAGTAGTATTTTTCTTCCTTTGGTCCCTCCTCCACTGAGTCCTGGTTATTGAGTTTTTACCAGGTAGTTCTTTGAATTATATGAATACTTGTTTGGTGTTTGAGAATTATCATGGTACAAATATCGCACACCAATGTCGATCATTTTCCACTTGTCTTGATTAGTGCCAGTTTTCTCTGCAGGTCTCACCCATTCTCCGACGAAGATGTATGTAGGTGGTACATAATTTCTACCATAAGGAGTTCTACTAGGAATACCTCTCTTGTCGAAAGTGAAGTTGTCTTTCCTGTCAATCCTACTAGACTTCCATGGCCTAAAAATCCTAGAGCCTTTGGCATCCTCCTTATTGAAGACCACACTGCAGAGCAGGCACAACATTATTTCATAACCTTTAAGCTTGCACCTGTTGAGGAAATCAATAAACTCTTCTTCCGTTTTTGAATACACTGCTTTCACCTACTTTGTGTAGTCGAGCAAACTGACTTAAACCACATATGCATTATTATTATCCATAATGTCGAGCATCATTAAGTCGACAGTTTTAACATTGAGAACATTTTCAACCTTGGAGTCTGAGTTACCTTCTTCCTGAGGCTTTGGCTTATCAGCAAATTTCAACATTCCTTCCTTGAGAGCATTCTAGACCAGATCCCTGAAAAGAATAGATTGTGAGGTTTTATGACCTAGGAAGTTAGGGAATTTGCAAAAACCATTTTTCTTTATTTGCTCAAATGGTGGTGCTTTTAACCCCTTTAAGACTATGATCTGACCATTAGCAACCAACAGGTTGAAGATTTCATCACAATTGGTCACATCAAAGGTATATATCTTAGTAACATATGTATCATTTTTGCTAGGCTCGACAAGGTTCTTTCCGTTTGAAGGTCTTAACAACTTATAGGTGTAAAGTGGCCCTGAGTTTAATTCTACAAGATTAACCTCACTATCTTCGACACAATCAACATTGGATATTTCTCAATTTTTTCTATTTCAATGTAGGCTACTTTTCCCTTTTTATGGTATTTATTTGACCTAGCATTTTCAGCTTTCAGGCGATCGACTTGTCGAACTCTGTCTGCTAGTTGAGCCATGTCTCTCAAATACTGGATGCCTGCCTTCTTCCTAATGGAATAGTCCATACCTCATGCAGCTAATTCGACAAATTCATGTTCAGGTACTTGAGTAAAGAATTTTGGATTCATTATTCTAAACTTTTTGAGGTAGTTTTCTATTGATTCGGCCAACTTTCGCCTCACATTAGCTATCTCTTTGAGACTAATCTTGGACTGGCCCATGTAAAATTGTTCATGGAACATCCTCTACAATTGATTCCAACTACATATGGAACGCGGGGGTAAGGTAGTAAACCATGTGAAAGAATTTTTATTCAAGGAATTTGGGAATAATTTCACTTTAAATTCTCATTATTTGCTATATCTCCTGCCTCTGACTGATAGCTTTCCACTTGTTCGACAATAGATTCATTAGTATCCCCTACAAACTTAGTGAAGTTGGAGATCTTCCAACCCATTGGTAATTCAATCTTCAATATATAATCAGATAATACATAAATAAATTTTGGTATATGTTGACCGACATTGAGGCCATTATGGGCCAAAATATGTTCGACCATATTAGTTATATTATTTTGCCCCCTAAAATTGTTTTGCTGGACATTTCTAACTACTATGTCTGTATCTTGGTTTTTATGCACAAACACTACCTCAGAGATATTTTGGCATGCATTACCTTCGACTACCCTGAATACGGGTGGCTCGACAGGTATTTCCTGTTGTGGTGTCTGATTGTTAGGAACTTACAGAATAGGCGCTTGAGAAGTGCCAAAGAAGTCAACGATTCAAGTCATTTGTTGTGCCAATTGCTGATAACTGTTGAAGTGTTATGAATCAAAGGATTGAACATTGTGCATATTTGATGCGTAAGCATGTTAACCATTTCGTTATTACTCTCATTCATTTGTTGTCTTAATGACTAGAGAAAAGTGTTGGTTAGGGGTGGCATACCTGGAGGAATATATCCTAAACCTCTTGACTATTGTGTTAATCAATCAGGGTTGTTAATAGCAGACATTGATGCTAACTATGAGTTAATAGGGAATGCAATAGCCATTGCATTATATGCATACGTAGATGCACTAAGGTCTAGGCTTTCCATCATAACAGTTAACATGTCATAAGGATGTTCTCTACCGCTTAGAGGTAACATGAAACTCAAGGGTAAATGAGTCATTTGGTCTCTTATCATATTTTGTGTAGCCTTAGGGGTAGTGGGCACAATCGTTACTTGCGGTAAGGATATCATCATTTTTGGTGATATAGTAGTTATAGTTATATGCCTTATAATGGTGGGCATTTCTCCAACAGAAGTTGAAGTTCCTACATGACCAACTGTTGACGCAACTGGTTGTTCTTCTGAGTTTGAAGCATTATTATATAGAGAGGGAGCGTTTTTAGACGACGGGTGTGCTATTTCAGAGAGAGTCTTGTCACTCCTCAGACAGATACACACTTAACAATCAAAGCCATTTCATGAATGAAAAACAAAACTTAGACAAAAAGAACACAACTTTTTTGCAAAAAAAAAAACACTTTTTACACAAGATGGTCCCACCAGACATGCCAATTTGTTTACTGATATGTTTGGTATACAATTATGAGTTTAGTTCACTTAAAAGATTAACTCAAAAAATCTCAAAGATAATTTGTGTAAATAAAAATATACATTGAAAAGTGTGTGATCTGGATTTACTTGGGGTAATAAACCAACTGAACGTAAGCAATAAACTTTAGATAAAGATAAAAAGCAATAAACAAAATAAACAACGTTAATTGTAAAAGTAGCAGATCACACACTTTGCAAAGAATCTAAAAAGTAGATGCACACTCACAATTTTCACAAACTATTTTGTTCGATGATTTGGATACTCTAATTCTATAGAGAATGAATGAGATTTTCGTGACCCTTAATTCTAGGTCTGAGTCTGCTTTATATATTAATCCTAAAATAACCATTGACAGCAGTCGTTGGTTACATGTTTGACGCATGTTCTGTTACATGAGCTACTTTTGCTCTAACTTGCTTCTACGCGTCTTCAAATAGAAACTACTGAAAATCAAACAAAACGTGTTGATAAGCGTTTCTGAACGCTTTAACTTCCTTTACTTAAACTTTAAACACTTAGTAATGTCAACGTAGCTATGACCATCAATACGTTGACTTTTCACTTAATTAAAAATCACATACTAACATTATTATCACTTATTTTTAACCTCATATGGAATCTTCTTATCTCAACATTACTTAATCATTAAAACGTCTTTGTAGAATAGACACATTTGTTTGGAGAATGAGTTATTTAGAGGCATTCAAGTTTTGTTATTAATTTTCTGAAATTTTTATTTATTAATTAGTTAAACTTTCTAATTCTTTTATTCTTTTTTAGGTTTTAATATAAATTTAGAAATATTTAGAGTGAAAATATAGATAAAAGAATCCGTTTAACCAATTGACGGAGGTTAGTTAAGTCGCCGTGAACCGAAATAAGTCGAGTAAGTAACTGCTTAGTGAGAGTGATTCTAACGTACGCCAATACAATTCGGTTATAAAATAAAAAAAGGCATATTCTCTTTCATCCTTTGGAAAACGTCAATTTCGGGGTACTTTGTTTGTTTTCCATCTTTGTCTTCTTGCTAATCTTCTTCTTCTCCTTCTTCAAATTAATTGTTTATTTGTTTTTGGTTGCATCTTACCCTCTTTATTTCTGTTGTAGCAATGGATCTGTGTGTGAAGAACCTTTTCCCCACAAATTCGTTTTGCTACAGACCCATTTCCGGAACAAGGTCTTGTAATTCATTTTACGAGATCACACTTTTCACTCAACAACACCATCGCCCTTTTCTTCTCACTGCTTCCGCCAAGAACAACAATCACGGCAACTCTTCTTCTTCTTCTTCTGGTATCTATCTCTCTTTTCTATTCTATTTTATTACTTTTATTTCATCTTTCTTGGAACCAGATAGCATGAACAATTGTGATTGCATTTGCATTTTATATAGCATGAACAATTGGAACCAGATAACTTTGAACCATTCATCCCCTTTCTTCCACCTTGAATTAGGTCATTTTAACTCACTCAACTACATCTTATTCAGTTCTCAATATACCTCTAGGTTTTAACTGTTGCTGTTATGTCGCGAATTGCATTCAAATGTAAAACCCCTTTTTGCCCCTTTATGCCCTTAAGAGAGAAGTTAACGAATGGAAGGCTCCGTGACAGGGGTAGTTTTATCTCGAGTCACTCTTTTTCAATTACTTAGTCTTGTTACTTTCACTTACTAACTAACCATATTTTTTCTGATGAGATCCTTTTTTTTACTGATATATTGATCATTACAGGTAATGGTGAACCGTCTATTCCAGGCAATAATGATGGTGATAAATCAAACAACAACTCTCAGAAGCGTCATCAGATTAATCTGGATTGGCGTGACTTCAGAGCAAAACTATATAGAGATGAGCTGGTAATCAATTCATTGCTGAATAGGATTGATATCTTCCATATTCTTTTATTAGTGTAGCTCTCATTTGATAATATGTAAGAAAAAGGAAACTATGTGACCTTTTTTTTCATAACTCTTAGTGAAAATAGAAAATGAAAACAAGAAAAACAATTTTCAAACTAAAGAAAATCCTTTTTTTTTGCTATTCTATGTAACTACAGTTGAAATATTTATAATTATTGATGTAGAAGCTATTGGTTATGATAGGGCATATCTAAGAAGCAATACAGTAACTTACTGGATGTTAGGTTTCATTAACTGAGTTTTTCTTGGCTTAATTAACAGAAAGAAATAGAAGATACTGACACACAAAAAGAAGGTGGTGGGACAATACACGATTCTAAACCTCTTGGAACAAAGTGGGCTCATCCTATTCCTGGACCTGAGACTGGCTGTGTACTTGTGGCTACCGAAAAGCTTGATGGTGTTCGCACATTTGAAAGAACTGTTGTTCTCCTTCTCAGATCTGGAACTAGACAGTCACAAGAAGGGCCTTTTGGAATTGTCATCAACCGTCCTCTTCACAAAAAGATTAAAAACATAAGACCTACAAATCAGGATAATCAGGATTTAACAACCTCCTTCTCTGACTGTTCTCTGCATTTTGGTGGACCTCTTGAGGCAAGCATGTTTTTGCTAAAATCAGGGGAAAAGTTGAAGGTTCCAGGATTTGAAGAGGTAGTCCCTGGACTATATTTTGGAGCTCGAAACAGTTTGGATGATGCATCAAGGCTTGTGAAGAAAGGGACTATCAAGCCTCGTGATTTCAGTTTCTTTATTGGTTATGCTGGATGGCAAATAGATCAGTTGAGAGATGAGATTGAGTCAGAGTATTGGTATGTTGCTGCATGTAGCTCAAGTTTGCTGTATGAGGCTATGACAGATTCTTCCGAAGGTATGTGGGAGGAGATTTTACAACTGATGGGTGGTGATTACTCAGAATTGAGCCAGAAGCCAAAGCAAGAAGACCCATAGGTACTAATATATATGGTTTCAGATTTATAGACAAAAATTGGTGCACTTAAAATGGTGTTATTACAAAGCAATGTGCAGTGAAAATTTGCTTTAATGTCAAATAAGTAGGTAATTTAGCTTCTCATTCTGCTTTTATTTCATCATAAGAAAAATGGTACTTGTTGTAGTGATGCTTGATAGTATAGATGCATGTGATGTAAGTATGAGATTAGCTTTGTGTTAGTCATAGTTGTTTGTATCCAAAGCACAAACACAAAACTAACAGCGCATTTGAATCAATATTTTCTCGACATGGGACCTGCAATGCACAAAACAATTCAAGAAATTTCTAAGACTGGCTAATTATAGTACTTCTCTCTGAAGCTTAAATTTTACTTTCATCTCGAATTTCATGAAAGAACTTTTAACTGGAGCTCAAAGATCTTGAACTAATCTCACCGTGAAAATTTTAGTTTCTTAACAACTTTCAATCCATTTGTAACTAAACAAAGTTATTTATTACTCTATCCATCTCCAATTATAAGATCTTGTTAGAAATTTTGTTTAATATATTTACTTTTTCGTCTCAAAGTATATTTAATAATATTGCAGATGTGTTTTGAAAAATAAAAAAAAGTTAAATTAAACATATGTCTATTTTGTAATTAGAGAGGAAGAAGATAAATGGATAGAAAAAGAGTTGAGAGGATCCAAAATCACATACTCCGTAATACATAGAGGCCGGTTAACAACTCGTTAAACAACTATTGTGATCTTTAACCATGTGTAAAAAAATGTCATCGTAATATGTATTGAAATGACCAACACATTTTCAAGTGTTATTTTATTTAATCATTTTACTCATGTGTTTTTTATTTTCTTTAATCCTTAAATATGTTTTATTTTATATTAGTCAATTTTTTTAAGCAAAAGGTACAAAGTCGAGAGCTAAGATTTCTCAATTACGCAGACACCATAAAGGCACCACCTTAAAAGCATTTTAATAAAATATATTAATAAAAGGAAAATAAGAAAGATTTTTTTTTAAAAACTTGCAGCACTCTAAAGATCGATTCTTTTTTTTTGTTTTGTTAACTTTTTTGGTTAACCTTAACTATCATATCGATTCTTTTTTGTTAACCTTTTTGGTTAACCTTATCTATCAGAGGCTCATGCAATAATTTGCACTTTTGAGAATGAATCACATGGTAAATATGTTGATTTGTTCCCAAGTACTAGATTGAGGGACATTTTCTAATGAAAAATGGGTTGTAAGTCTATAAGGAGGAAGACCTTTTCTAGAAAGAAATGTATAAGAAGAAATAGATAATGAGTCTCGTCAAAGACCATGGTTATCTCGGGGGCGGTATTTCCCGAGAGGAGACCGACCGAAAATGCTTGAAGTACCTCATCGATACCCGCTTGTTGATGGATATGCCCATACCAGGGAAGAAAGGAAGATTATTTTTGGCAAGTTTTGACAGTTGTTGGCTTATTCACCTTCACTTTGCTTACTCACAGTGTATTTATTTTGGTAATAGTTGCACGCAAGTTCAATGAAGGATGAGGGAGCACTTTGTCTTATATGACGTGGAATCTGGGAAGGGAGAACTATAATCGGCCCACTTGTGACTTCGGAGACCTGCGGGATGCTGTTACTTTGGGTCTTTCAACCCTTAAGTCGTCGACAAGGTCAGGTCCACGTCCTTCTCAAGACCTTCGGGTTCCTCCTTTAGAGGATAACTGCTTATATTTGGCAAACCTGTCCAGGCAGGCCCTATAAGAAGAATTGGCAAATCTAGCGTGTTACACCCAGGGAGCATATGTCGTTTTGCCTCTTGGTGGAGTCGGACGATAGGGCACCCTTTGGTCTAACCAACAACGTGAAGAGAAATACAAGTTAGAGGAAAGTGTTTATAGCTCAACGCTTCAACGAGAGACATGCCTGCAAGATATGTAGATGGCTTCTATTTCCCTTATTGGGATAGGTGATGATTTACGCCCCCTTAATATTGATGGTTCTCTTACTGACTAGGTGAGTGTTTTGGTGTTGGGTATGACAAGGAGGGACAAGTCTTTAAATTCTTCCCGAGCTACTTTGAAGTCTACTCAGGCTTCTCTTTAATTGATTAAAAAGAACTAGAAGTTATGCTTTTAGAGTGCTTCTTTGGCTCAATGTCTAACTGGCTATATGACCTCCAGTCTTCGGGTCGTCTCTCAGTCTTTTGAGAATGCCTTATAGTAAGTGGAGCACTTTCACCATCCTCTATGTATTTCTAGGGAGAAAGTTCGCCTGAATCAGATGCTCAAGGATATGGGAGGCTGTTTCCTAATTGGGGTAGCCTTCTATGCCTTTTTTGTTTCACATCTTATGTATCAAGTATGTTTATAACACATTTGTAATAGATATGTACATATTGTGTGTCCTGAGTACATGAATCTGGATTTCGTGAAAACTTATGAGGTACTCCCTCAAAGTTGATTGGACGTCTTTGGGATTGTTTTAGGCAAAAGGTCGGTTATCCTTCCCTCGCAAGGTGAAAACTCGGTCCGAGGTCGACGTGTGGCCGATCCACCGTGTCCACTAGAGTGGTTAATTGCTAATGGGGGGTGGATCATTATTTATTGTGGGGAATTGATTGTTGTTTTCGCATGCACGGGGTGTTTATTGTAACACCCTGAAACCCCAAATCTTTATTTATAAAATAATTCAATTAAATTGATAAATAGGGTATTACATATTCATCATCAAACATCTTACTCAACAAAACCATAACATTAGAGGAGCAGAATAAAACATCAAAAACCTCAAGGAAAATATTTATTTGTCTTAACACCAATAATTAATAAAATATTTCATTACAATAAAGAAATGAATATTTCAGAACTTACAATATTTCATAAAGAAATGAATATTTTAGAACTTACATTATTTCATTCATATTTGATAACCAATTATACATATACGAAAGGTAATTACACATACATATTATTTAACACAAATAATAACAAAATGAAAAAACACATAAAGCAAAAGCCAATTCCCACATACGACACCATTGTTCTATACAAAAACAAAAAATGAAAAAGGGATTGATGATAATGGTGGATCAGAGTCTCTGATACAATGGACAGAGGTTGGCCCGCAAGGTTAGAACTTCATGCTTAAGTGAGTATGTGAAAGATATGAGTCAATTGAAATTGAATTTGAAATTGAATAACTGAACTGACACATTTTTCATATATATTGGAGGAAATAACTACCTTTATTTTTCAGGCGTGATTCATAGAGAGTCGTTAGATTTATCTAGTGTTTGGATCCTCTGTATGTATCTGTAAAGTAGCCTTCGTGTAATAAGAAAGTTATGAAAGGATGATAACTTTTTAAGAGTAGTCAGCAATGGACCAATTTGGTCGTCCTCGAACATAATCAAACATTAAAATACTATAAATTAACTGCCACACCATATTTTAAATGATGGATGACCAAACATTGTAATAAGCACGATCATGCCCTTTCTACTAGTTATCACATTCATGATTTTCATAATAAGCCACATAAGAAATTAGAAACATCATCACCATCAACTTTCACTAATTAGTTGTCAAGTGCACAATATCATTTTAACTCGCTTAGTTAAATAGGGCATTGTAGGATCATCAGTGAACTTTGAAGATACACTCTTACTTGTATTCCTTTTCATGGATTATTGATTTTGGTGCATCTGACCATATTTGTACATTTCTTTCTTTTTTTCTTCATATTCTTCCATTCATAATCATATCTATGTTCAATTGCCTGATGACTCTTAAGCGCTCGTGAAACACATAGGCACTATCAATTGTTCAACATCACTTACACTCACGAATGTTTACCACATTCCAACTTTCAAATTCAATATGCTTCCTATTTTCTAATTAACAAAGTTAATAAATTATCAAGCAATTTTTTCATCCTCCGGTTGCATATTTCAGGACCGAGAAACAAAGAAGATGATTGGTCGGAGCAGTGCTCGGAATGGACTATTATATTATAATGATGAGTTAGCATCAAATAAGCATGACAAAGATCATTATTTACTTATTCGTCTATTAAGCATGACAAAGATCAAATAAGTATTCCTTCAAAATATGTAATCGTACATGTAATCGTAAAGTTTGACAACCTGTGCCAAAAGGAAAATGTCTCCACTGACAAATCAGAACCCAAGGGTGCTTCACAAATAGCATCCTCGCCAAAAGGCAGTCCCAACCTCTCTGCTAGTTCGTCGGTACTGAATGCGTATTCAACATTAAACTTTCTAAATTGTGTCGTGCCAATGGTACTAGAAGTGTCGGGCTTAACTATATAGATCAGGGAACTCTAGAATTCCCGGGTCAGCCTTTCGAAGGTAGAATCATGCCTAGCAAAAATTTCGTGCAGACCTAAAATGTCTAACAGATGAAAAACACTATGGTAGATGCCTAGAGCATACAGACAGTTTTCGTCTACGTACCATGTCAAAGTAATTTCTCGGTTCTGCAATTTGTCGAGAATCTTCCACTGTCTTTCTTCGGGCTTCCCTTGACGAAGAACACAACCGTCGTGTTCCATGGATGTACCTTTGGGATGAAAGATAAGTGAAAATGGGTAGTTTTTGAGAATTTGGTAAAAATGGAGTTTTGATGGATTTTGGTGTAGAGAAGTGAAAATGGAACTTGGAATGGTTAATGAGTTGATGAGTGGATGATAAAGTTTGGAACTTTTTGGTGCTTGAGGGAGATTTTCGGATGGGTAAAAATGGAGGTTTGAAGGTTTAAAGGTGTAAAAATGGTGGTTATGGAGGTTCTGTCCCGCATATAGCCCAGACCCCATGGCGGGCACCATCCTCACTAAAGGTTTGTGGGTCGGATTCTTCTCTTCTCATTTGGGCTTTTGCGCTCCTCCTTTTTGGGTGTGTAGGTAGCAGGAATCACCTGTCCTAGTACACTAATATTTCTCCTATATATACATTTTTTTTCTTATTTTGACATAAAAATTC